AATATCAAAGACCCCACCAAGAAGAGACTACTTCATATTTGTAATCCTAGCACTAATGAAATCTGTCACAAAGTTCTTTAAAAAATACTGAATGAGTGAGTTACACAATATAGCTATTTTAGGATGAAAACAACAGTGTACACCAGTCTTCCCCTTGTTAGTAACCATTACACATGCATATGATAAATGAGTTTAAAGCCTGGAATGAAACAAGTTGCTCTTTACATGTACTTCAAGTAAACAAAAAGATTTTTATTTTAAATCGGAAACAAATAAACTGTCTTTAACTGTGCTGATAAATTAAAAAGTTGATTGCCATGTTGCCATGGATACCTGTTCTATTCATAGCACCAGACTTTCCTAATAGTTAAGGATGTCAGTAACAGCAGTAAAACATTTTTATGCTACTAAGACTGTAATTATTCACAAGTTGTACATGTTCAAAATCTTCAAATTAAAAAAGTGAGAGGGTAAAGAAAAATCTAAACCAGAGATTAAGATATATAGGGAGTAAAAGGAATATAAGTACTGAATACAAGTTAATGATGAAAGCTGTTGAAGTAAAATAGAGTCCACAGAAACAACACTTTGTTTTCACTCAAATATCACATTTTCCTCTTATAGGATCAATTTGTTGTTCACAAAAGGGCCAAATGAGTAGGTGGCATGACAACCCTTTTAAACACTATAGTATATGAACGTCAGAATTCATGAAACTGGGTAAAATAGTGGAGACTGCTGAAAGACAAACATTTACTTATGGTCTAAGACTGTTTTCCTGGGTAATATGATTATAACAATCTATTCTCTTGCTGGAGACATTAGAAAGACATAAGAAAAACCTAAATCAAACATCTTGCCTACTGGTACCCCATAAAGACTAACCTGTAAAAAGTAAATACATAAACATAGAAAAAATATATCTTAAAATGTGTCATGTGGCTATCGTTAATTAACTCTTGATAACTCAAGGCAGCTTCACACTGTGGAATTTGGAATACTTGCTGTATAACTTCTTGGAGTGAAGGCTAACATGCAGATTCTGGGTTCCTGAACCAGATGTACTGAATCTGAGTTTCTGGGTGTGGGTTTTAGGAATCTGAGTTTTACATAAACTCCCAAATGATTTTTTTGGACCAAAAACTTGAGAGCTATAGATTTTTAGCTTTCTGCTTTTTGGTCACTGTGTGTTGGTACCTTTGTCCGAGGATAAACAATGGAATAAAAGCAAATGCACTCAGTTTCTACCTTGTTGAATATGAGTCTCCTTCCTCCACCCTCACTTGATTTCTTTCTCAGAGGAGCACAGAATTTTCCCCTGGCCCTGGATGAACCCAGGATTCCCACTGCCAGTCTCTCTAATTATCTCTTCTAAAACACATTAAATCTTGTGTCCATTCATATAGTAGTTTATCAATGTTCATTCTGCCTCTTGAATATACTTAATTTATATAGTTTATTAGTATTGTCTAAGTTATACATCTTGAGAGTTTTATAATGAAGAGTGTATCTCATATATTTTAACACAAATATCTAACACAAGACATCAGAACATTCAGGTGCCTATTAAATGTTTTTTGATGATTTTTAAATTCTCATTTCTGTATTACCCTTATCATGTGGTAACTGTAATTTGGAAAACAGAAAATTAGCATAAGGACCATAACTCTGTAGACCCCAATAAGATAAATTAGTTCTCAAAGAACAGCTTTTTCAATCAGCAAGTCAGTACTACGAAGACAAAATTAAGCTTTTCAATGGTATACTGGTTAGCCTTCTTATATTTTTAATAATTCTAAATGTCATATAATCTAACAGCAGATATGTTTTCTCAACTCGTCTTTAAAAGTGGTTAACTATATAGGAAATGCTTCTGGTTTTGAAGTGAATTCCATAAAACTTGTGCTCCTTTAACTGACTTTTTTAAAATGGAGACTATTACAGTTGATGTGTTAGAAGCCATTTTCTATTACATATTCAATTAAAATTTCTATTTCATACTATTACACACTCCTGTATATTAATGAAGATTATGTATTTTTACTTTGTGTTTAATGTAAAATATTCATATTTTGAAGAGTAGTATAAGAATAAATTATTCTAAAACTAGACAATGGGATTGTATTCATCGAATGGTCAGAAAGAATAGTCTAATGTTTATTAATAAGTTCTCTCAGAAATAAAAGATCCTGAAAAATTAAACAGAACAAAGGCCAGTCAAAAATAATTCGCTGAACTGAAGTTTTAATATCTTAAACACTAATAGTCAAAATGCTTTTTATACTTGTTTTTTAAATGTTAAATGGATTACCATTAATAACTACAGGAGCAGCTTTGGTCTTACTTTTCATAAACTCCAAAAAACAACCATCATAGAAGAATTAAGGAGGCACTTAGAAATCTCATAGGGATTTCAATTTTATTATTAACAATTAAATAATATATAACTTACTTAGATATATAAACTCATTAATCCCACAGGGTGATAGAAGACTGAACCCTTAAATTAAAAACATTAATTCAATAAAGTGGCAAAATGTAAATTTCTGTCATAATATAAACAGTAACTTATTTCATTTTAAATGCAATTAAGAAAGACATTGGTACAGATTTTATTGACAATTTTAAATTATTATTGAGTATAAAAATAGAAAAATGTTAAATATGCAAGGTAATAATTTTTATTAATTTCTGTGTGGAAAAATACCAATCAGTCTATATGTTTATTACCTGGAAACTTTCTGAAATTTAGAACGTTATGTTAACCATAATTTAACTATAAAAGCATTTTCAATCAAGTCTGATGAGACTTTCAAGGCAAGTTATGACAGCACAGCCTATTCTTAATTAGATATGTGCATTTTATTCACTTTTGAATCTGCAGTAACTTGAGCTCCTCCCCCAAGTTACAGAGCCAAACCCGGCCGCTGATGACAGGGCTGGATTAGAAAAGCATCAAGACTAAGGATGTGTGTGAGGACCAAGAACATTAAATTTGAGTGCATTCCAAAGCCAAATATAAATGTTTCTCTGTTATGTGTCTCTCCTGAATTATAATAGTATGGATAATTGAGAATTGACTATAATTTAATGTTTTGAATAGGCATTAAGTTCCAAACCACGAAGACAAGTTATAGGCAAACTATCCTTTAATAATAATTATAGAACTATGCTAAGTGTCTTTCTCAGTCCATTTCTCAACAAGAAGAAGGCTTTCATTTTAGTTGCCTTTGAGAAGGTAATTTGGCTATTTTCTTTTAAGAAACAGAAATCTGGAGTGCTGCCACTGCTTTCAGAAAACTTACAAACACACGTACAAAACAAAACAAAAAACTAATTTAGAAGTTCCAATGTAAATAAGGGTTATCCTGTGTCTTTCTGTACATTACAATAGAACACATTAAAACAGGTCTGAAGTATTAGGGGATATCAGATATGTCAGGTAAAATTTGATACTGCATAAGCTAAAAATTACAGTTGATATATGACATTTGATGTTTTAGTAATTTTAATAATTCAGTGGATTCATAAGTTAAACAGAACAATTTCTGCTACAGAAAATCATCCAGAAAGGAAGTATTTAAGGTGGAAAAGAATTAAAACAGGAAAATTCAGAACCAAAATATTTTCACTGGAAAGGCTTCTATTCATGTTCCCCCTCTTGAACAACATTAACTGACAGATAAATTGTATCTGATTGGTAGCATTAGTATTTAGCTTAGATCAGTTTTATTACTTTATCCTGGCCTTGTGGAAAAGATAGGGCTTATCATAAATTAAGAAATGGAAACATATGATCTTTTGAGCAACTTCAGAATCTTCCTCTCAAAAAAAAAAGAAAAAAAAGAAAAGAAATTAAAAAAAAAACACCCACAAAAGTACAAATAAATTTGTTTTTGTTTTTTTTTACTAGCACATGTAGTTTTCATTCTGTCATGATTAGTAGCTGAAATTAGGTAACTCTGAATAATGGCAGATCAAGACTTGAACTCAGCTCGTCAAGTCCAGTGTTCTTCCATAGATACCGTAGAATTTCATTCCAATCACCCTTCTTTTCCTTGCCACCATTTCCAAACAGATGAGATTAAAGTTCACAAGGAGCAGTTAAAACTTGCACAAGATTACTGAGCCCAATAATGGCAGACTGAGTCTAAAACCCAATCGATCATCTGTTGTACTCTTTAAACGGGGCGTCTTTACCCCTATGTTAATTAAATTTTTTAAAGATCAGAAGGCATTCCCTTTAATTTTAAATTTAATATACATAATAAAATAGCATACGTAAGACATTGCAGTGGAATGGCAGAGAAATTAAAGATGGTGTGCAATGAATTCCCTTAAGCTCACAGAGAACTAAGTAACAAGGGGTTATCTTAACTTTCATTTCAAGCCACAGGCATTCCTAAGCACACACAGAGGGCAATTACATTGGTCACATTTCCTGCTACCTTTAAGGACAAGTGACTTGGGTCTCATGCTTTAGATGTTGGTGGTGAAGATATTCCTGGGCTAAGAAACAGAAGCTGCCTTTGGCCCTATGCTGGTTTTCTAGCCACTCCTCAACCCTGGAGGCAGCTGTAGGGGACTGCTATCAAAAGGAAATCTGTATGTAGTACCCAAGTTCTCTTGCAAGTAAAAAAGTCCATCTCCACTGCTTTGTAAAACAGAGTTTCCTAGAAATAAATCTGGGGAAATAAGATAAATTCTCAACCATATCTCAAAAGGTACCTTTACAAATCATCAAGTTATTATAAAATGCAGGTACGCTATCTGGATAGTACATGCCAATGTGCTAAGGATTGTATGAAATAGGAAAGAGAACCTTACCCCAAACCCATTAATCAAATATGTTATCAGAAAAAAGGGTGTGTGTGTGTGTGTGTGTGTGTGTGTATAGATAGATAGATAGATAGGCGTTATTTTCAAAAAAAATTATGAAAGAAAATTATATATGTATACATGTATACAACTTATCCCCTCATCTCGCCTTGTGCACCTACCTGTGTACATTGTCCTGGCCAGAAGGCACTACACCAACGTTGGCCACATCGACAATCTTCTGAAGGATCACAGAGGAGGTGAAGTTCTGTGGTGCAAGGATGATTACAGTAGAAGTTTCATTCATTCCTGTCAGCATTCCTGTAAGAGCAAAAGAAAGTCCCCTATAACTAATTACTTTATGAAAATTATATTAAAACAATTTTATGCTCATAGCCAAAATGTAAACTTATTAAAAAAAACCCCAACAGAATGTAATTTACAAGACAATTACCATAAAATTAAAACGAACCACACTGTTTCAAAAAATTTTAAATCTATTGTGTAAGAAAATTAAAAAAAAATCAAACATCACTCTTAATAAATAGTATTTTAAATACTATATGATAAAAACTTAGAATCACAAAGATGAAATTTCAATTTCAGTCCCTTTAAAATATAGTGAATTAATTTGGCTGATGTAAACTATTAAGCTTTTAAAGAATTTTCCCTCTCGTTTTCATGTAAACATTTCTCTTGCCAAATGCTGCTTGAGAACAAATCAGTGGTTCTGAAATAACCAGCAGCATTACCAATGTGATGGGTCAAAGTTATGTTAACAATGACTGAAAGTCACTGAACAGGTTCGAAAAATGTATACGTATCTATGCTACACTTAGTATTTGCTTAGTGAATGGCATTACAGTTGCTGACAAAACACCAATTGAAATTTCTGAAGCAAAACACTGAAAACAAGAGAAAAATGTGAATGGAAAACTTTAAATTCCAGAGACATTTCAAATAGTTTTTAAGAAAGAAAATAAGTTAAGCAAAACCATAAACAAAAACCATACAGAGTTAACACAAGCCATTAATATCAAAATCTCATGTGAAAATGTTCAGTGAACAAATTCAGTAGCATACCACTTGGAACAAATAATGAAATTTAGGACCTGGGTTAAAATAAACAAATAAACTGGATCTGTGATATAAGTCACAGCCACCCAATGATATCTACTAAAAATGATAAGATTGTAAGCTGTATGATATATGCAAAATAGTTTACAAATTACATGAAAATTTGATTCCATGTTTTCAAAAGACCCTGCACCTTCAGAGCCATGTAGTTATTTATTGTAACTGCAACCCCCCAATTTTTAAAATCCCCGTAATTAGTGGTATGAAGACACTAAAGCTAACACTGCAAAAAGGCCTATCTAGCTTTAAACAAAGAACCGTTTTTACTAACCACTTTCAAACCCAGGACACTGTGTTCTGTCTTAGACTGTTTAACTTCAATATTAGGCAAAAGCTTTAAAAACTACACAAGCAGTCAAACACTGCTTTTAAGTAAAGCACAGTGGCTGCTGACATAACACTGCTGAGAGATGTGTGTACTCATTTAGGATTTAAACCTTCTCCATTAAGCTCTATTGAAGAGCAACTGCTGAATAAATGAATGCAACTATGTTTATGTTAAAAGCCTGTTTCCCGCAGCATGTAATTAAAGGAAATGTTGTACAAAGCCAGTACTTTTGTCAAGCTCCTGTAAATGGAAAGATGGATAGCACTCAGAGAAGTGAATGCATTGCTTCATATTTAACCTTAACACTCTTGTCATTAATGGTTTGTCTAACTTGGTCTATAAAAGACAAGGTACTGCTCCATTGAAGTAAAATTAAAAAAATCAACTAAACCATGCTTTTCAGAACAGAAGATTCATTATCGTCAGCTAATGTATTGGCATAAAGCAAAGTAACATCCTATCAAGTAAGGCACACATTCAATCTGCCTTCCCACCCTCCTTTATTTTTAACTCATGCTGTTTTATTGTTATAGGCAATTTGTACCACTCAGCATGACAGTGTAAACTGAATCAAGATTAATTTACATGCAAAAGAACACTTAGGAGAGCAGCATGGTAAGCAAATGTATTGTCTCGATTGCTGAGGTGGAAAAAGAACCTGGAAAGAAAAAAAGGTGCTCTAATTAAGGGGCATCAAATATGATTGCTTGAGGTAGTTAAGGGCCAGAAAATAGTAAATGTCTGACCATTTAAAGAATTAGCATCTTGCTAGCTAGGAACCCATAAGATGGATACATAAATCATAATAAAATTAAGTAAACATTCTAGATTTCTTATACCAGAGATTTTTCTAAATGAAAATATATCAGGTATTCTCAAATTACCAAGAAAGAAAATGCCAAGGTATCATTAAAAGTTTCTCCTATGAAAACGGACTTTACACATATAGCCTGCTCATACAAAATAAAGGTAAAGTTTCTGGGAAAATATTTTAAAATTGTCCAACTATAGAATTTGTTGCTTCATTAGAATTTATCTAAATTTTGGTGAGGCGGTGGACAGCACTTAATTTAGGTTAATCAGCTGTAATTAACTGCTAAAATTTTAGCAAACTAAATAATAAAATTTTCCTAAGTTTTAGATTTTCAATTTAATTCATAAGAAAAATATGAATAAGAGGAAGCAGTTTGAAATAAGCAATTGGGTTATGTCTCTTAAGTTTAAAACTGCCCCAAGACACTAAATTTAAAAATTTTTTAAGTAAAAGAGATCTCATGTTATTTAGAGCAATGAAATCATCCCACAGCTAGATCATTAATTTACAGTGCAAGACTCAAAACTTAAAGCTATGAAAAATTATGCTCTAGTTAAGGCTTGTAATATGAATATTATGAATATGAATAATATGAATATGCAGGATAAGCCAATCTTTCATTTAGCACTTTGACTATCAACGTTATAAACATGCATCTTTAACCATGAAACTCTAAATGCAATAATCAAGAAAAAGTGACATATCAGGCTGTATATCAGAAACAAAACTTTTTCATTTAAAAATACTAATATAATATGTATAATCTCTTAAACTTAAAGTATTCTTATTATATACACATTTTAATTATGTACATCTTTAATACAAAATTTCTCATTATTTATTTATATTTTTCAGCTAAATACAAAATAATACATTTAATGAATTTCTTCAATCTTAAGATATATGTCCTGTGATATGAGATATTAAGTAAATTCATTTTCTTTAAAGTGGAAGTATATATTAAAACTAGCATATTAATGACACACAAACAGTTCTTAGCTTTAGTGGCATTTTGCCTTCCAGAAGTTTCCTTTAATAAAAATTAAGAACACTGACTTTTATTCTGATTTAGTATTTTTAGTTAGTGAGGCATTTCTAGGTATCTTATGAAATAAGCTAACCTCTTCCTTGATTAACAAACAAATACATATGTAAAGTTGAGAAGTGAGACCTCTATTACCAAATCAGCTGAAATTTATAACTAAAAAGATGCTATTGAAAATACTCTTCAAACCTGTGGTAAATTTGCCAGCATCAAGTCCCGTATCAAAGAATGAATTCAGGAAGACAGAAAAAATGACACAGAAATGCCAAGAGACTTGCAAGGATTTACAAATACTTCATATAAACAAATTTTCAAATAGCTTTATTCAGAGTAGCCTTTCTGCTCTATTAAACACAGCAAACAGCTGCCACATTTATTCAGACAAATAATCAACAACCACAGAAGTAAAATGGCAGGAGAAAAAGGAATTTTGGCAACAACTCCACAGAGGACCGCAGCTGCTCTCCAAGCGCACCTCTCCTATGCATTTACGGTTCTGTATGGCTAGTCAGGGGAAAATCCCTCCGTTACAGCAGAGCACAAAAAATTTGATCGAAATATCAAAGCTGAGGGAGAGAAAGGGCATAAGATAATCTGCTGCTCTAGATATATTTCAGCTGCACTTTTCTAAGAAAAGGAACATCCCCTTAACAACAAAGGTGCCCAAGCCTTCTTCAGTCACTTGGGTGCCACTCACCTTGGTTTGCTGAGCAGGTGTAAAGCAGAGAGGCAGGCTTTTGCCAGCAAAGGATAAGAATAGCAAATGTAAGAATCAATTCAATTTGTCAATAGAAAAACAAAATTACGAAGATGACTTTCTTCTATAGCATAATCAATTTCCAAGAAAAGCAAATGCAAAGGTGAATTTAGTCAATTTCTTATCCCTTAAAAATAAGGCAGAAAAAGATTACTAACCATTTACAGTCTTGTGTGAGAATGTCTTTGAGAGAGCCTACAACAGGTCTTTTTAAGACTGTGGTTTGCAAAGACTCATAGTACAACAATCTTGGGCGCTGCCATGACAGACCGCCAGGAAGCAGGCCTTCTCCTTAGGTACAGACATTTGTGTGTGCCTAATGCTTTCTGAAAGCTTGACAAACACAAATTCGTGACCTCGAGATGAAGGGATCTTTGTCTGATAACCCCTCCAGCGAAAAACACAGCTTAGGTTCCCATACACTTTCAAAAATTGCTGACCAAATCATTTAAATAAGCTCATTTATAGATTCTATCCTTAATTAAACACTTAAATTCAGACATTTATTTTCTTATTCATGTATGAAAAAAATTATTTTTACTAGAGGATATGCTTGACTCGGGGGCAAGCACAAGATATTATACTTCCATTCTGCTGAAAATATTTTTTAGGTGCACCTTTTAAAGTGTTGGACAACACTTTGTACAGTTTGTACAAACACACCATTTCTTTGGCATAGAATTAGGTCAAAAGAAAAGGAAGGTAATTTAATGTTATAATTAGGACTTCACTTTGAAGGGTAAGGTGCTCTGTGTACAGGGAAAAACAGATTAGTAGGACATGAAAGACAGTGAAAGAAATATAACATTTATAGTCACAGAACTTCGGTAAATCCCACACTTCTGACATTTTCACTAATACAAAAAATACATGACTACATCATTAGGCTGACAAACCATAACTCCCAGAATTGAAAAGTTAATTACGAATCAATTTAGTATTTTAAATACATAGTAATCAATTTTCACACATGTCAGGAATGCAGACAGATATATACTTTTAAGATTATTTTATAAAAGCAAAGCATTACCAAAAATTGGAAAATTGTGCACTGACATCTATTAACAGCTGTGTATACATGGTAATTTATTTTAGAGACTGGCCAGAAGAAGGAGCACGTATTATTTGGGATGTCAGTTCCTAGTAAACTGTAGTCACCTCTCACCTTGCTCTTTCTTAAAATCTTTCTCTGACATGGCCACAGGTAAAAGCAGTTCTCCAACAGGTGGCTGAATATTAACATTGAAGCAATCATCCTTGGTACTAAGGGAAAAACACATAAAAGCTGACTAAATATTTAGTAACTAAACATTCTTAATACTATGCAGTTAAATGGATACATTAAAGCATATGCCAGCATACATAAAGTATTAAGATATTCTTGGTATAAATAACACAGCTAAAAAGGCTTGAAAAATTTCTTAACAATATTTATGGAGAAATACTCAATTGGAAAACTTTTCCCCCCAAAATTATGCAGTTATAGTAAATATACCACTTGACATAGAACCTTAAAAAATATACGGTAGGCAGACAGCAAGGGTATGCTGTATTACCATAAGAACACTCATGCGGCTCACAGAGTAGAAAAGTAATGTTTTATCTTTATTTTGTGTGTTTACAGTATAGAACATGGAGTGTTTTTGTTTTAAATGGATAAGATTTCTATTTTAAAGTGTTAGATTAGTCTTTAATAAATAAAGTGGCGTGACCATACTGTGTTTAGATATGTGCTAAGAAAACAATCGCTCATCTGCAAATCTGCTTTCTTGAAACAAAAACCCTTGTTTTCCAGTAGTGTGATTTACTGACATTATTGATGAACATGTGGTGAAAGCTATTATTTCTAAGTACAAGATATGGAGAATTTAGTAAAGGCAACGTTCTCTTTGTACAGCTAGAAAAACCAACACTGAGTGTAGGTATTCATTTAAATCGTGACACTACTCTCTACAAAAATGACTAATACTACTTTAAAAATATTTTAAGTTACATGTTTAAAGGTAGGATGATGAGAGTATCAGTTAGGAATGTGTTTGGCTGTAGATAAGCAGAGAATCCAACTAAAAATTTCTTGGGAAATAGGAGCTTACTGTATAGTACTGAACAGGTCCTGGAGTTACCAGCCAAAGGCTGGTTCAATGGCTTAAAGATGATGCCAGGGACCCAGGTTTCTCTGGCTTTCATTCCTACCACCTCTAGTGTGCTGGCTCTTATCCTCATGATTGCCACACAGCTGCATCCGCAGGGACCACTTTTACATTCCATCAAAGAAGAAAGAGTGATGATGGAAGAGCAGTGAATAATTGAGCTGACCAAATCTCTTCCTTTGCACCAGGAAAGCCCTATAGAGGGACTTCTACACTTGTGTTAGAACTGGCCCAGTGGGGAAGTGGCTAGGGAGGTGGGGATTGCGGATAAGAAATACTGAACACTGGTTAAGAAACTATTACAAGTGGGGTAGGACACATATGTAATATGAAAAAAGAAAGAAAAGATATCCATTTTTATTTTACGCTATATTTTGTTTTTGTAAGCTGGCTTATATTTTTATGGAGTAAAGTCTAGAATAATAAAAAGAATGTTTTGAATTATCCACATCTGGATTGTCCAAGGCAAAACAACAAATCCTATTTATTAATTCGATAAAATGTATAATACTGACTACAAACTCGATCCCCTATACTGTGCAAGTATATGGGGTTTAAAGACAAATGAGATTGGCCCTTGAAGTTCACAAACCCAGTGAGAGATGCGTTTGTGACAGGATGGTAAGTGCTCCATTAGCGATATGTGGGGAGGGCTATAGTCCATGCAAGAGGGGCTGATTAATTCTGCAGGAAGTGGAGGGTGTCTATTTCTGAGAGGAGGGAGAGGGGCCTTCTAGACATTCTAAACCTGTGTTTTGGGAGTGGAGAGTCAAGAGTTGCGGCTGGGCACACTGTAAAGAGTCATAGACAGCATAACCATCAGTCCCGGTTCTCTCACAGCAGCTTATGACGATTGTCCGGGAGTCCTTCTCGGTTAATGATGCCTTTCATTCTCTAGTGTCCTGATCTGTATGACAAAGTGTATGACTTCTTTACTCACATACCTTTTTTAAAAATATATTTTTTAGTGGTATCAGAGAGGAAGTGAGAGGGAGAGAGATATAGAAACACCAATGATAAGAGGGAATCATTGATCGACTGCCTCCTGCATGCCCCCCACTAGGGATGGAGCCCACAAACCAGGCATGTGTCCTTGACTGGAATCGAACCCAGGACCGTTCAAAGTCCATGCAAGAGGGGCTGATGCTCTATCCACCGAGCCAAGCCAGCCAGGGCTTTACTCATATAACTTAGGACAAAGGTGTTTCGTGTTTCTTGAAGCAACAGGGACTTTTGACATAGGAAAAATAAATGATCCTATTTGTATGTCAGAAACTCTGGTGGCAATGAGTAGAGGAGAAACCCAAGGCAGGTAGATCAGTTAGGGATCTAATTTAGTAGTCTAGGCAGGGTGTGTGTGTGTGTGTGTGTGTGTGTGTGTGTGAGCACTGGGGCCTGACCCCAGGTTTATTCTACTCCAAGGTCTGATATATATATATATATATATATATATAGAGTCATATTCCACTATAAAAGCTATTTCCCTAGATGGGCAACCCTGAGCATGGGGAACAAGGGAGGATTTTAGAGTTAAAGGGACAGATCTGATGATGGATGGGAGAAAGAGACTGTGAACCTTCTAATGTGAACGTTGGGATGATGACAACTACTGAAGAAGAGTTTGAGGGATTAAAAAAATTACTCTGCTTTAGGATATTATATCAGATCATATTTTGAGCACCACTGAGTTACTCAGGAAGAGATATTTAACAGATCACTGGAAATACAAAATAAGACTCAGGAAAGAGGCAATGGCAGTATATATGAGTTTGGAAGAAACCCAAGTGAAACAGTGAAGAGCTGAAGCCTCATCAGTAGTTCAGGTCACACAGGGAAAGGGGATATACCAAGAAAAAGGGCCGGGGAAGACCTGCATTTAAATAAAAATGGAAGAAGGGCAAGTTGCAGAAGAGAATGGGAAAGAGTGAACAGGGAGAAAAGGTATGTGTCAGATACTACAGGAAGGAATAAGAGGCAGCAAGAGGAACTGCTGATCTGAGCAAGGCTGAACAGATTGGAGGAGGAACTCAGGATGCAGCGAGTTGCAGGGCGAATGGGGACATTGGCAGTCAAAAGCAGCAGAAGCTCCATGAGGCAGAGGCAGAGGAGAATGCTTCAGGAAACCCGAGCATGTTCAAAGGCTGAGGGGAAGAACCCATGAGGAGGAAGAAACAAGGCACACCTGATAGAGCCAGGTCTTAAGAGGAGGAGAGGAGGTTGGGATTAAGAGCACAAGGGTGAAGTGAACGGGTCAGCCCTGGAATGGAGGAGGGAACTTCTGAAAACAGTAGGGAAGGGGTGGTTAAGACAGAAGTACTGAGGCTGGGACCACGCCCAATGAATGCAGTGGAAGATTAAGAGAAATATGTAAGGGCTGATGAAAGAGTAAATAGACAGATATACAGATGTACATGAAATACATACAGTGAACTATAATAATTTAGTGTTACATATAAAGCTTCAGCTTCAAATGGCCGAGAAAAGCAGTGTTTTCCAAAGTGGAAAGCATAAGCGTCTGCTCTGGCAAAGAAAATCCATTGAGAAAAAAACTACTAATTATTTTTTCTCATTCCTTTTGAAGTTCTGTGGTTTTTTTTTTCCTGTACATATTTTAGTATACATATGTTAGCACAGAGAGATATACACATGTAATTTAAAAATACATTTATACATATAGGAGTGCACAGAAGAAAGATTTTAATGTAAATTGTAAAAATGTACCCAATTAAAAAGTTAGAGGACCACTGGGTTAAATTTGTTGTTCTTGTAAAGAATTTTATTCATATTTTAAAACTGGTTATTCCTACTATATAGAAATGTTAAAGATTTTCATATAATCACATACACATTTCTAAACTCATTAGCTTAAAAATAGATTTTCTGTTGATATTATCATTTCTGGATTGATAATTATGTTAAATAAAATGATAATTTTGTCTCTGTTTTTCGAGGATTTATACCTCTGTTTTTACTTGTCTTCCCATATTAGGTAGAACTTCCATTATAATGGGAAATAGTGTTGAGAGTAGGTAACCTTGTTTTGCTTTTCTGACTTAAAAGAGAATGCTTCCAATATTTTATGCAGAGAGAGGTAAGTTGTATGGCCCAAAGTCTCACAGGTGGCACGCACATTCATGAGCTATCCTTTTGGTTTTAAAATCAGGGTGATACTAGCCTTACAGAATGACATGGATGCTTCCCTTCTTTTTCTTTGTTCTAGAAAAGTTTAAATAATGTATAGCATATTTCTTTTTTGAAGTTCTGATACCATTTAACCTTTTTTTTTATTCATAATTTATACTTTTCTAGGAAACCATTCATTTCATCTAAATATTCCAATTTATTGGTATAGAAGTGTATATTTTGTAAATTAGATATCTGTTTTATCTCCTTTCTCTTTTCTAATCTTTTCTATGGGCCTTCTTTTTTTTAAAAAAAAAATCACATCTGCCCATAATTTCTTTCTCTCATTCTCTTTTTTTGTACGTTCTCTGTCTTTTAAAAAAATGTGTATTTTCTGTATTCAGAAAACAAGGAATTATTTGGAAACATATATCTTAGATCAGGCTTGATAACCGAATTATTGAAATTTTGTGTTTGTGTACACATATAGCTATATATACCTGTATGTCTATCTACATATCTTTCTCTGATTTGTCATTTTCTGATGAGTTATTAAAATTACTATTATCATACCTTTGTCAATTTCTTCTAGCATTTACATGTGTTAGTATTATCACTATGAGTCTCTTCTCTCCTGGTGGGCTGGACCTTTCTTAAGTAGATGAAATGACTGGTGGCATGGACTCAATAAATTGGAAGGCAGGTAGGCAATGGCCTATCTCTCCATCAACAGATCTAATATTGGATTTACCCTAGTGGTAGAGGGCTTGAAAATATTACTCTATTAAATACAACTGAGTTTCATCTCATCTCAAAGCATCCCTGCCTCCTTCCCACAAATTCAAACCCTGCTGTTCCTTCCACACCAAAACCCTTCCTGGCAAGCAGCTCACTTTCTTTACAGTACAATTCTTAGGTTTGCAATTAAATGTGTATGTGGCTGCTGCTAGGGGTCAAGTTGGAGAACTGGAGGTTGGAAGCAGTTCTTTAATTTCCCAATAACTTTTGTACCCTAACTTTGCTTTTCACTTGTTCATTTTGTGCTTGATATTCTGCCAGATTTGATCTTACCATTGCAGTAATTTTTCTCCCATGAGTGTTGGCTCCTTGGTTTTTATTTTCTCTGTTATTGTTTATCTGTTTTCATTTGCTTTCTAATAAGTCAAATTGTGCCAACTATTCTTCACGATTTCTGGTCAGCTAATAGCTTTCTTTCTCTGATGCTCATTCTCTTTTGAAAATAGTATTTTCTGCCTTTTTCATAGATTTTGGTCTAAAAGAGGGGTGGATGCTAGAGCTCAGCCCTCTAACTTGAGTCAAATCACCTTATTTTCATACTAGCTAATACATTAATATCTGCTGATCACAAAGATAAGAACTGTTTATGCAGTGCATCTACTTTTAGAGATATATTTCTGTATATTATAAACATTTTCAATCTCAATAAATGTAATAAAAAATTTAATTTGATGACCATTTAAAAAGCAAAGCAAAAAGAGACATTAACACAAGTATCAAGATAACTATATAGATTCATATGATAGTTTTATTTATTATCTATCTAACTACCTACCTACCTACCTATCTATATGTGTCATATAACTATAGATTTAGAATGATTCTGGAAGCTAAATTAGGATTATTTTACTCTTGTTGCCTTTCTTTTAATAAATAGAAGGATACCTGAAAGACTTATAGTCCAAGTTCTCAGCATTTCTGAAGGCTTCTTATCAAATATGCTCTTATTACCCATAATTTTATGTATTGATTTATATAATGTATTTCAAGAAAAAATTCAATATTAGCCATTCTTGCTCCCCCCCCACACACACACACTTTTTATTGAACCAAGACTAATACAGCACACATCACTAAGCAAAAAGTGCTATTTACTATGCAAAAGGCACAGTCAGTGATTGGCATCTAAGACTAATTGATCTACTCATTACCACTATCTCCCTACCCCCACTAGCATTACTATGAAGCTATTGATTTAAACACTGTCGATCGGTTTCCATTTTCTGATTTTGGGCAGGCCAATTAAGAAAGTGAGTAATTGTGATTACACTGCTTCAGGATCAATTACATTTGATCCAAGACAAAGTGTTCTTTTTGGACCATACACACAAAATAATTTTTGATCTAGTATCCTTATGTGCTTAATAAAATCTGAAGTACATAATTAATTTTTACCTTCACAACAGCAAAACATATTAATGTACATGCTTAAAATACCGAAGGCTATTTTTGTAAATTGCATTTATCATTTTCCTAAAATTAGTTTTTTAAGAGAAATTGAGAAAAACTTTATATACACTTTTCAATGTAAGATAAGAATAAAACACTACCTACATATTTATCTTCAAAGATATTTAGTTAATTGCGAAAGACAAAATGCAAATCTCATCCAAAGGACTACAGAGGAAATCTTTGTAAAAAAACAACAACATAGTTTTAAAAAACCACCCTCGTCACATAGAAATATAAAATGTTCTTTAAATAACTTGTTAAAAAAAAAAAGAATTATTTTAGTTCTTAATTTTGCCCTAACTTGGTGCATGAGCTTTGTCATTGGGCTCACATTGTCGAAATCATTAAAATGAATATACCTCTGGTGTTAGAGGCAAATCTATTTAGAGTGATGTTACTCATAGTCTTGTGCTCAGTAATATTGATCTGTGTTGTCTAATAGAAAAATAATAAACAATTACTAAGCAATGTTGGGAAAAGTAATCAGTTTTTATATATCACTAATATAGCAGACCTCCCAAAACATAAAGGTGATGATCTGCATAAAATCAATGTGTTATGCTACACTGCTTATATTCATCATTGCAGGTTCTCAGCAATAAATGGTACAATATTAGGTCTGAATTACTGGAAAAATAAAAAGGCATATGAAATAGAAAGGCTGACTGTATTTAAATATAAACTTATTTTAAAATGTCTATTTCCTAAACTTGGAGATTTTTTATCATAACAAATACTGCTTTAAGCAAGTTAAAACTTAAAGAAAATGTCTCAATTCTTTTTAGAATAAAAACAGAGCAACCTCAAATCAAAATAAGAAATCATATCCTAGACCAGGGAAATATAAAAGAGTTCAAAGATAAATCTTAAAGATACATGAGTATAAACACTATACTAATTGCTAATAGTTCCTGGATTTCACTAGAAATGTATAACACATATAAAAACAATCAATAATGACAAAACTCAATTCTAGAAAAAGCTCTTTTGAATAATATTCACCTGTTTGAAATCTTTGCCAAGTGCATAAATGTTCTTTTGAATTTTATCAAAATAGTTTGTAAATTAAAGTAAAAAGAGAAAAATGTGTGAGTTTTAAGTACTGACAGAATCAATAATTCTCACTTAAGAAATTTATGATAACATATTAGATGTTTAAAAAGATATCTTCTCTGGGCTATTCAGTAATATTATTAAAGTTTTTTTATTTCTCCCGAATTTTACTCATCAATTTTCTCCTACATGTTCCAAAACTGCAGAGTTAGAAGAAGTAAAAATATTATTTAGCAGTAGCTTCTTACTTTGTCCAACAAACTGTGAATTTCAATCACACATATATCTGTAATGGTTAGTTGTAAACAAATACTACACATACATATATTGTACACAATTTATACAACTACTGCATGCCAGTCTAACCATTGCCAAAGAAAGGTACATTTGTTTAAATGTTTTGTCTCTCAAAGAAAAAAAGTTGCTGAAAGCCAAGTTTTGATCTGCTATCATTTATAGGAAATATAAAATACAAAAAAACAATTAAACTTACCACAACTGGAAACTGGCAGTCTGAGTGGAATCACAGAAGTCAATACCCATTGAAACAGTAATGGATCCCTCAGGCTCAAGAGATTCTAGGAAATTAGATAATTTAGACATGAAAACACGAAGGAGGTGAAAATGAGGCAAAGTAAACACTGAAAACTTATATAATGCTTGTGGTTTGGAAAAAATGGTCAAATTTAATGATGGTTTATAAGAGCACTTTCAAACTAAGAATATTAAAACAAATTATAATTTCACTATTCTGCTTGAAAATTTTCTTTTTTACAACTTAATTCTGCATATATTTCAATGAACACATTATATCATTTCAGAAACATCTTTTCCTGAGAATGTCTGTTTTATTAGGTCTAGTAATAATTAATGTCATTTTCTAATACTTTAAATCGAATTTATTTAAACAATACAACAAAATTTAATCAACAATATAGTTGCCGTTGTTTTCTACTACTTGTGCCCAACGCTCAGAAAGCATTTTAATCCCTCTGTTGTAAAATTCTTGTGATTTTGATGCAAAAAATTCGGTCAATGCATTTTTGAGGCATTCTTCATTATTACATTTTTTTCCAAGAAGAAAGTTTTGCAAAGAACGAAACAAATGGTAATCGGAAGGGGCAATATCAGGAGAATATGCAGGTTGAGGGAGAACTTCCCATTCCAACTGGCGCAGTTTTTCAGCAGTGATTCTTGCAGTATGCGGTCGTGCATTATCGTGGTGAAGAATTACGCCCTTCCGATTAATCAGCGCGGGTTCTTTTTCTCTTAAAGCTTGGGCTAACCTTTCCAATTGGGCACTATACACTGCACTTGTAATGGTTTGGTTAGATGGTAAAAGTTCATAATGAAGAATTCCTTTAAAATTCCACCAAACACACAACATCACTTTTTTCGCATGCAAGTCAGGTTTTGGCGTGGGCTGTGGAGCCTCATTTTTGTCCAACCATTGAGGCCGCCTTTTCAAATTAACATACAGCACCCATTTTTCATCTGCGGTAACAATTTGCTCTATAAATGGCAAACGGTTTTGACGAGAGAGGAGCGAACTGCAAATTGTGACTCTTTGATTACGGTTGTTGTCGGTCAACTCATGAGGAACCCATTTTCCAAATTTTTGGACTTTGCCAAGTGCACGCAATTGATTGGAAATTGTTTTTTGTGAACAATTTAAAGTTGTCGCAAGCTCTTGTTGGGTAATTTGAGGATTTTGCCCCAAAAGAGCTTGAAGAGCTTCTTGATCAAAATTGGACACACGGCCTCGACCACTCTTGTCATCTAACGAAAAATTTCCCTCGCGAAATTTCTCAAACCAACGCTGGCATTTTCTGGCGCTAACTGCATCTTGACCAAGAGCACTACAGATGTTTTTTGCAGCCTCACTTGCTTTTCTTCCTAATTGGAACTCGTAAAGCATGCAGTGCCGAATATGCTCTTCATCCGCCATCTTCTTAGCCCTAGTTTTGCAACAAAAACCAAACCAAACACAAACTTTTTCAAGCAAAACTTGTTAATTGCACTTCACACGTTCTGTAGATACCACGTGTTTGAAGGTTATGTCAATACAAGTCAATGCCAAGCAAGATTTTAAACGAATGTTTAAAAACGACATTAATTATTACTAGACCCGATACAATATTATCTTTATAGGCATTGAAGATGAGAGGGAAACAAATTTAGTCCTGTGTGAAACAACTATAATGAACTATGGGTGCTTTCAAGAAATTATGCATTTAAAACTATGGAATATTTATCTAGATATAAAAAAGTAATTTTAAACAATGTTTCAAATTTCTCCTGGAAAAAAATCAAAATACAAAAATTTAGAAATGCAAATTAAAGCAAAACTGGAAGAAATTAATTTGTTCTACTCAGAAAATAACCAAAACAACTGGCATTATAGGAACAACTGGCAAGTATCACACTAATGTTTTTCAGTTGACAATGATAAAACTTAAAACCATAACAAAATTTTATTCTTTTTGTGATTCCAAAGCCTGGCTGTACATTAGAAAAATAATGGAGATCTTAAATATATACCTTAGTATAAATATTTATGCATATATTATACCTATCTATAATAATAAGAGAGTAAGATGCAAATTGACCGTACATTCACGATACCCCCAACAGCCAATCATGAGTGTGTATGCAAATTAATCCAATGAGATGGCAGGTTAATTTGTATATGCAGGCATCGCCCCACCCGCTCCGGGCCTCTGGGCAACATGGGAAGGTGGAAAGGCGGCTCCGGCAGGAGTCAAGGCGGTGCCGGCAGCCAGGGGAAGGAAGGCCCATTCTTGCACGAATCTTCGTGCATTGGGCCTGTAGTACATATAAAAGCCTAAGCAACCATTCGACCCTTAGCTATAATGCGCACTGACCACCATGGGAAGATGCTCAATGCTTAGGCATGGAAACATGGAAGAGACTGATGAATTTCAGAGGGAAGGGGGGAGGAGATTAACCAAAGATCTTATATGCATACTAGAAGCCTGGTGCACGGATTCGTGCACCGGTGAGATTTCTTGGCCTGGCCTACAGGGATCGGACCAAAGCTGGCAGTCCAACATCCTCTGAGGGGTCCTGGATTGCAAGAGGGTGCAGGCCAGGCTGAGGGACCCCACTGGTGCACGGATCTGTGTACCAGGCCCCTAGTATTTAAATAAAAACCATCCACTTTTAACTTCCACTTTGCTAGAAGTCCCACTATACTGTAGCTTTATATTTAGCTTTATCTAATCTCTATATACCTTACTAGATAGATGTAGTTATATTTTAGCAGACACACTCTAATCCAGTAGACTGTAACTATCCTAGGGCTTGTTTGTAATGCGATTTACCATTAAATGTTAACAATGACAGAGAAGATGGTATAGATGGGACAAAAGAATTCAATAAGCTTATTATATCAAAAAGTATACTTATGTATTATAGTCTCAATGAAGACTATGTGGTATAAGAGGGTACTTGTTTAATGCTGAATTTCATTAGTTTGTAAATTTAACATTGACCAGGATGCTGCTCAAGTACCAGACTTGCTGCCAAAATCTTTGGCAAATAGGCATTTCTGTTGAATACATAATTATAATGATACTTTCCCCCATATTTCCTAAAGCTACATATATCAGATTACAGCTCTATCAGTCACACTGTTCAAGAATATTCTTCAGTGAATCCTATTGCTTTGTTCTGTGCCATGATATACTGGGGTCTGGTGTAGCTGAATACCACACTAGCATATGCTGTCATCTCCATAACATAATGGTATTCATGATTTAGATCTCTCAAATCATGTATTCTTGTATTTCATTTGACAAAGTGACAGTTCTCAAAATGTCTTGTTGATAGCACTCTTTGACATAGTTTGGTATCGTCTTCAGTCTTGACATAATTAAGTGGGAGTTTAGTGCCATGCTAAACCTGAAGGACAGCTCATGATCAATGGTATGCTTTATTATATAAATACTTCAGGAACAAAGTGCTCAGCATAAAATTATTCATTTAATGAATGTTCATAATATTTGAAGCCTACTACATTGAAGAAGCCTACCCATTCAGGTGTCTTTATTTGGATACTTCTCTGGATCTCTACTATATACATGAGAGGGTTAGATAGAAATGGCTGAGAAACACTGGTTCTATTACACCACACCATTAATCATGAAAAATGAAATCACACATATGCCATCTACTTTGATGTGACAGTTGTAGAGTAACTAATGAAATCTTAGCTGACCTCAAACATGTCAATTGTTAACATAGTCACTGAACACAGTCACTGAACAGCCTAAGGCTATTCTCTCTTTGTGTCTGTTTTACATCTCTTATATACTGGTCTCTCTGGGGGAAATGTCACATTATGCCTAATATTCTTGCAAGAAGTTCAGTTTCACACTTTAAAGGCAGGGTAAAATTCAGACAAAAGTCATCACATATTAAACATGAATATAAAATAAATTGGTGACAAATAAGAAATCTGCTGTGGGGGAGAGGTGGGGTAGGAGGAGGTGGAAGAGGGCACAGAAGGGATAAATGGTTTATGGGAAAAATAAGTAAAGTTAAAAAGCAATAAGAAATATCCTGAGTTCCTTACTATATGTATATTTGCTTATTAAATAAAACAATTATCTTAGCTACCTTATTTCACAAAGCCTGAAAATACAGTATTTGTTTTTTGTTGCAGTTTTAAGATGTTTTTGGAGTAACTCCACTATAATCTATTGATAAAAGAGACTAGGTAGTATTATATACAAATATCTACAGCATGGGAAAGAACTCTGTATCTTGAGGGTAATTCAATAAATGCCAATGAAATGAATGAAACATAATAGTCATAAAATGTGCAGTTGGGAGCCAGCAGTCCTAGATTGTGAGAGGGATGTCCAACTGCCCGTTTAGGCCCCATCCTACGTAGATCCTACCTAGATTGGACCTAAACGGGCAGTTGGACATTCCTCTAGGGGTCCCAGACTGGAGAGGGTGCAGGCTGAACTGAGGGGCACCCCCCCCCCACCTGCATGCACAAATTTCATGCACTGGGCCTCTAGTGTGAAATAATGAGAAAGAAGGCACAGTCTGGTCAAAAGGCTTTGCTCACCTAAACTTATAAAAAGAAAGTATTTGGAACTTTCTGATTATACATTTCAAGGATTCAATGAAAGAAATCATACTTGCTTTTAAAAAGTGGTTTTTTTATTTTTTATTTTAGAGAGGAAGGGAAAGGGAGAGAGAGATAAAAACATCAATGATGAGAAAAAATCATGGATTGGCTGCCTCCTGCACACCTCCTACTTTGAATCGAGCCTGCTACCCAGGCATATGCCCTGATCAGGATAACCTTATATTACTTTTAACTGAGAGCCTGAAGCTTCTCTGAACAAAATAGAAATAGAGACAGACATTCTAATTATTATTCTATTTTAAACTCAAAGTAAGACATATAATTATTACACTTAATTTTTAAAAGGTATATTTTTAATACAGTACTTAAAAAATGGAAATAGATGACATCTGGTCAGACAATATAACGTATGGGTCACTGAGGTAACCTGGAGCACATGCTGCATCAGAGGGACAGCCCCTCAGCACTGCTGGCCATGCAGCATGTGGCAATAAAGACCCAGTACTGCCATAGCGTGTGTTTTACATGGTAACTCTGGGCTAGTATATATTGTATATGTGGAAAGGAAGACAAGCAATATAGTATACACTCTTTCATTCTTCCCTCCCTTCACTTTTCAGTTTATGGGATGTGAAAGGAAACAGGGAAGAGGAGAAATGGCAGGTACTGCAATAAAAAAGATAGTCTAAAATCAGGAATTAGACTAAGGTAGAGAGGCAGGAGGAAGGTGATACAGATAGGTAAAGCAGGAGGCAATTTTGATTCTTCAAACCTATCCTTCTGTGAATACTAAGGACAAAGAAATGCTTTTTATATTTATTTTGTATAATAAATTAGGTTTAAAGGGGGAAAAACAAACATAAACTGAGTGTGCTAATATCAATTAAATAATATGTATTCTACTTTACTTTTAAAATGAACACATTTAATTATCAAATACAGTTCAAGTTTTAAATGAGAATACTTACCTATTGGATTAAAAACATGCATTTCCATGCCTGTAGGAAGTTTTTTTTCTCCGATGTGAATATTTTCGATCTTTTGATCTGTAGTATTATTCAGTGTTACTTGTACAGAGACCATCTTATCACCAAAAATGCAAGGCTGTCTTGGAAAGAAGTAATGGGCAGCTAGTCCTTTCCCACTCATGCGATGAAGCAGCACATGAGTTTTCATTGGTACAAAGACAGGAGTACTGACCTATTGTATGTTGGAAAAAGAAGAGAAAAAAATGAATTAGTAAACATAATTAATAATTCTTAGAAAATATGCAAAAATTTCTAACATTAACCTTTGCTTTCCCTAAAGTATTACATAAGCCACAATAACAAACATTAGCAGAACATCACACACATAGATAATTAAATCATAAATTTTTTGTAAGTTTCTTCAAATTTAATTTTTCTGTATTCTGCAGATATAAATATTTTGAAAATATGTCTAATGAGAATCACAGTTATATAAATATATTCTTTATTTTTTTTAAGTTTGTAAAGTTTTTTTGTAGGTACACTATATTTGAACATTTTGCTAATTTTTAAATTAATTTTAATAACTTATCAGTTGATTTTCTCAGGCCTTTGAACTGTAAGATAGTCTTATTTGCCAATAATGAACATTTTTGTACCTTCATTTTCAATCCTGAGTCCTTGAACTTTTTTCACCTTGAGTTTCTTTCACTATAAATGCAAGACTATGACCTCTTTTAAGGCGGTTTCTTCCCTTGCTTTAATGGTTAAAAAAAATATTCCCTACTTTGAGTTCAGGTAACTTCTTCACTTCTATTTCTTCTAGAGCTTTCTTTTCTTTTCTTTTTTTTTTATTCAGTGAAACTGATATAGCCTACTGACTCCATATTGAAGTACTCTTCTCTAAATATTTAACTAATAGTATGTACATGATTTAAAAAAAAACATTTTCCGCCGAAATCAGTTTGGCTCAGTGGTAGAGCGTTGGTCTGCGGACTGAAAGGTCCCAGGTTTGATTCCGGTTAGGGGCATGTATGTTGGTTGCGGGCACATCCCCGGTTGGGGTTGTGCAAGAGGCAGCTGGTCGATGTTTCTCTCTCATCGATGTTTCTGGCTCTCTATCTCTCTCCCTTCCTCTCTGTAAAAATTCAATAAAATATATTAAAAAAACAAAACAAAACATTTTCCCTAACCCCTGTACATGATTTAATGTTAGCCATTCCTCAATGACCTTAAAGTACAAACATTCTAATTATTTATGTTCTTGGGAGATAATTTTGGGCTTTGATTGAGCTGTTAACCCAGTACCACATTGCTTTATTTCTTATAGCCCTACAATATGATTACATTATTTGGCAGAACAAAACATCTCTCATTCCTCTTTCCTCTGCTGCTCAGTATTTTCTTGCCTAATCATCTCTCTATTCTTCCATTTAACTTTAGATTTCTTTAGTTAAATTCTCTGCTCAATCTTGAGCGAAATCAGAGGCAGCATAGTAAACGAAGAAATAATCCATTTTAAACTCATGTCCTGGCTATCTTTCCACTCAAAGCTGAAGTATTGCATGTGCATGTGGCTTGACCAAACATGGCCAAGCTTTTTTTAAATTTATTTAAAAAAATCAATTTGTAATTAACCAAGCCTAATCAAAAATATTTCCTAACAAGAGCTCTCCCAAACTAAGTTTTCTATTATAAGTGTGCAAGTACATATTAATCTATTCACCATGTTCACTATGCCATGGACTGATGATATTAAATATGCAAGGAAAACAAAAACAAAAAACAAGCTAGAGGCATACGTTAACACCTAAACTGCTGCCTCACACAACAATTTCAAAACTACAGCTAAAAGACAAAATGGACATTATCCAGAACCACAGGAAGGCTGGCTGAGTGGAATTTCTATAACTAGAAGGAAAGAGAAAAGCACACTGAGACTCAGAGGAGCTGCAGAAGGCAGAGGTATAGAGACATGCTCATGGAGAGAAATGGTAACTGAGTATGCGGCTGGCTTTCTCAAGTGGGAGGGAGACAAAAGCTCCTGACTGCACTGAACTCCAGTTCTGGGAGAGACTTTGGGGACCCAGACTCATTTGGGGGAGAAAGTGGACTGTCTGACAGCGAGGAAAACTCGATGGCGGCTCTCTCTCAGAGATGCTTGCATCAATTACCGCAGGACACGGAGACACATGGGCATTTTAGGGCAGGGCTGACAGGAAGCCAATGTTGTTTCCTCCGCCCTGAGACTTCACCCTATCCAAGCTGAGCACAGAGGCTTTTGCAAGTCTTTTCTCCTAAGGGTGTCTCCAGCATAGAAGTTCTCCTATCATAGATACAGCTGATCCTCACAGACAATTGGCCTGGAGGTCAATTCTTCCTAGTGATACCAACAACAATCAAGGCTTAACTACAACAAGACTGTGCACACAGCCCACAAAGGGGTGCATCATGAGTGTCCACCTCAGGTAACTGGGGAGGCTGAGCCACTGGGCTCTATAGGACACCTAGCACACAAAGCCGCTCTATCAACTCAGGGAAGCAGCCAAAATGTGGCGACAAATAAACAGGTCACAAATGAAAGAAATGAAAGAAAGCAAATGACTGGATATAGAGATCAAAACCAGTTATAAGGTTTTTCAAGAATTTTCTAAAAAAAAGGCTAATAAATTTAGTAAGACTCTCAAGGATATGAAAAAGGACCAACTAGAAATTAAGATACACTGACCGAAATAAAAAATATTATACAGAGACCTAACAGCAGACTAGAGGATTGCAAGCATCAAGGCAAAGATTTGAAATACAAAAAAAGCAAAAAACACTCAACTGTAAAAGCAAAAAGCAAAAAGAATCTAAAAATATGAAGATAGTGTAAGGAGTCTCTGGGACAACTTCAAGTGTACCAACATCTGAATTATGGGGGTGCCAGAAGAAGAGAGGGAGCAAGATACTGAAAACCTATTTGAAGAATTAATGACAGAAAACTTCCCCTACCTGATGAAAGAAATAGCGCAGAGATCCTCAAACAAAAGGAATCCAAAGAGGACCACACCAAGACACATTATAATTAAAATGCCAAGGGCAAAAGATAAAGAGAAAACATTAAAAGCAGCAAGAGAAAAAGAAAAACAGTTATCTACAAAGGAGCACCTATACGATTGTCAGCTGATTTCTCAACAGAAACTATGCAGGCCAGACGGGAGTGGCAAGAAATATTCAAAGTGATGAATAAGTACTCTATAACCAAGATTACTCTACCCAGCAAAGTTATCATTCAGAATTGAAGGGAAGACAAAGAGCTTCACAGATAAGAAAAAGCTAAAAGAGTTCATCACCACCAAACCAGTATTATATGAAATGACGAAGGGTATTCTTTAAGAAGAGGAAGAAGAAGAAAAAGGTAAAGATAAAAATTATGAACAACAAATACATATCTATCAACAAGTGAATCTAAAAATCCAGTGAATAAACTTGATGAACAGATTTTAGTACAATATTTTGTACATCTGATTAGATACCTATACTCCAGAAACGTGTATATGATCTGTAGATGCTTATATTCTAAGATACTAAACATTGTGAATGGCTTTTCCTACTTCACAGTTTATAAACATAAGTAAATTTCTTAAATGTAAATACACACACACATTGTATGGTAATTACATAATGACCTATTATAGATTTGAATTGTAAAAATGAAGGTTTTAGAAAAAATGTAGATATTTAACAAGTTTGAGCAAAACTGATCTTGGGCAGGGGTCAGCAAACACAACCCACAAGCCCAAATATGGTATTTTATAGAGTTTTACTGGCATAGCCATACTTGTTCACTTACATATTGTCAATGGCTACTGTCCAATGGTAGAGCTGAGTCACTGCAAAGCTAACATATTTACTATCTGGACCCTTTACAGAAAAAGTATGTTGATCCCTGTTCTAGGGGCACAATGTTCCTTTTCCCCTCCCTTTCCCTGTCAATAGGAAACAATTCTCTATAAGTCTCTTATGTTTCTGCATGTTTTTTGAACAAAGGCATTAACTACTTTGCTCCTGACCATTTTTTCCCAAGGATGTTTGTATAGCAAACAGCCTTTGGAAATAGTAAATGCCTCTCTCTGGGGCAAAAGTAAGACAGGTTTGCTAGTAGCCCCTTATAGAAGACTGGGATCTTCTATACTCTGGTTACTCTCGTGTGTAAAGCAACCCACAGCACGTGCAGTCACCATCTGGCCTTCATCATGTCATCCTGTAGGAACCAGAACACAGAGAAGCCGCACAGACGATGTTATTCTGCCACAACAGGCCACTGCATTGCTGTGAGTAATCAACTGACCTGTGTCCTCTACAGGTATCCGTAAACTGTCTCAGGCTAACCTGCTATCTTGCAAGTAGGTAACATTTCATACCCTTCACAGTTCTTAATACCTCCCACCCTTTTTTTGGTCACTCAACAATTCCCAGATCCACTTACTGCAAATAGCTACATTAACACTTAGTAGGGCTATCATATATATATACAGCTGTGCAGTGGCACCTGAATGAGGGGTGTATGTGAGCTTAAATTCCAGCTTACAATCAAGGGTTGCCATTTTAGAATCTATACAATGGCACCATATGAGCTAGTGGCTTTGCTAAAGACACTACAGAGTAGAAACTATTTTTTTTCATTTTGACTTCCTTTATAAAAGTCCATGTTATGACCTGATTAATTGTATCTATGGATTTCTGAAGTATCATGATGTGTTCTGACAGCTGACAAGGAAGTGCCAAGTAAATTCTGTGACACTGAAGATTAGGAATACAATGGCCAGGGTTGCTCTGACTTGGTTGGAGACTAAATGTTGGCCTTCTTTCCCCAGCATTTTACCCTGTAGCAGTAGGTATGGGACTGTCTGCTCAGCACACCCTACCATCTTCTAGGAACCTTGCTGTGTTCAGTTCCTGATAACCCTGGCATGTTCTCATGCCACCTCATGACCTACCTGGCCACGGTTAATTTGTTCAGAAATGGGCACAAGGCCTGGTGTGCCCCTTTCTGAGGATTTATGGGTTTAGGACCTGGGAAGTCAATCCAGTCTCTCTTAAATGGTTAAAATTCTGAGATTTAAAACTCTAATGCTTGAGGCCGTAGTCTTGCCACCCTGTTCAGCTAAAAATAATAAATAATTTTCTTATTTATTACTAGAGACCCAAAATTCATGCATGGGTAGGGTCCCTCGGCCTGGCCAGCTA